AGCACGAAATTGTTATATTCTTCTCACGTTTGCCTTAGTAAGTTTGTACCACATTATGCTGTTATACAATGTACATGCCTGTGTCAGTTTCAACTCCCTGTAATAGGTCCATAGATTTAGACGAGTAATCCAGACCTACAAAGTGTTGCTAGTCATGGTCATCTTTCCGGGTGGCCCTCATCACTAATATCAGTTATTACAATGACGTCATGATGGGGTCTAATCACCAAAGACTTCATCTTTATAGTGCACATGTCAATAAATATTGCTCACTCATAATGAAGTCTCTCCTGATTGAAATAGGTACTGCAGAAAGTCGTTGTTTATTGTCAGCCGTCGAGCTCTGTTCACCAGCACTGTATCCCACAGCTACCCAGTCTTTACAAAAATACTTGCAGTATAATTTATTTGTCCTTCCACTAAAATTCCCAAGTTATTATGAACTTACTCAAGGGTTGAACCAAACCCATTATATTGTTTTCACATATCACAGTATTAATGCTGATACTATTAGAAACTCACTCATCTAAAATACATACATACATTTTGGAAATGGTTTTTACTCAATCAAAAAAGTGTTGCTTTGACTCATTATTACTAAATTATGTGTAAACAAAAAAATAAATTGGTAAAAACACAGAAAATCGTGAAAGTTTTATGTAAAACATATGCAAAGCAAGAAATTGAATATTTGTCATTTGAACATAAAAACATTGAGTGCATGTTTTTTTTACAACAATTTTGTTTTAGTTCATTCAACTATCAAAGAATGTGCCACGTGCACAATGTATGTGTTGTTAATTGGTCTTAAATTAATCAGGGTATATCAACTTGATACATACAACGTCAAAACTTGTTGACTCAGAATTGAAAAATATGCCAAGCTGACAAGGGATGAGTGTTTGTGTCAAGTGAACATTAAGTTCTGAACATTTTTGTGGACGTGTGTATAATGGACGTTGATGGCAGAACATTTTCCCGCATCCTGAAAGCTTAATGTGAACATCAGGTCAGTCAGTAAATATAACACTTTTCTCCTCTGACATGTTACATTAAATAGGCCAGAAATGAAATAAAAAAGGGAAGAATAAGTGACATTTCCAGGAATGTTGGTCTAACACTCCAGGCCTGAGCGTGCAAAAGGTTATGACATTTTTTCATAATAAAGAAAACAAATACATGTGAGTATGGGTGTGAGCAAGAGGATTAATACTTTTGTTGCTTTTAAGTATTATTATGTGAACATTTATTTTAATAGTTTTTACTGTGTTTTATTGTTTTATTTCTTGTGTTTTTATAATGCATTTTCTAACGTGCATTTTCTAAAAGTGCTTTATAAATGTGTATTAAGTGTGAAAACCAGCTAGAAAACCTGTGATTTTTTGTGGCTTAACTCTGCTCCTTCTTCAACCCCCCCCCTCACACTCTCCTCCCATCATCTCTCTCTCTCTCTCTCATGTCAGAGCCCCACAGGGTGCTGTAGTAAATGTCTGTCAGTCAGGTTCGTTTAGTGTTTATAGTCCATCCAGCCTCTCTGGTCCATTACAAATAGCTTTAAGTGGCACAGCACTCGCTCATTGCCATCACTCAACACTCTGTCTATTAGACTTTGTACTCAACCTGATTAATCTGACCAGTTGCTCAGAATAAAAATAACAGACGTGAAACAGTTTTTTCCTGAATGTAAAATCCTATTTGTTATGCATTATTATGTAATAAAATCAGAAAATAAAATAAAAGTCTAATATTTATCTATGTGTTTATCTGAGGAGGCACGCTGAATCATTTTGTTTACTTAATTAGTACAACACAGGCAAGCCGGGATCAGCCCCAGTTGATTTATGGCCGATTTTTATTTGATTTGACAGGCAGAACTATTTATAATTCAAGAGTTTTCAAGGGTGCCTTGGGGATTATTCCGTGTCTTAAGATTTGTGATGTAATCTGCAGCTCATCTTTCCAACGTCAATCAGAATAAATATATGTAGGGCTGGAGGAACTGGAATTTCGCCTCTTGGCTGTACATACATTTGTGTATTATATTTGCTTTGTGTATGACTTTTGCTTGTATATTTACTCTATGTACTGTACTTTTCCAGAGATTTAAGGTGGCTTTGCTGATCAATTTCTGCTACATTCCACAAAATTGCAGATAAAATTCATGTACTTCGGGGGTGACAATCTGGGTCAATTCATATCTCAACAAGTTTCTGAAGGGACACAGATACTCTTTAAGTTTTCTCATTCTCATATTATTGGAGTCTCATGCAATGTAATTAACTGTCCATCGAGAATAGGAATCAGAATTACTTCATGACGGAAATGTTCCCCTGGTGGATTCACTGCTGTCTGGATTTTACTCGCCCTGATAGAACTCAGAAGGCTATTAATATCTCAAATACTTTCAAGGGCATACAAGGCTTGCAGTAGTTTTCATATTTTGTGATGTGGAGTGGGAATATTTTTTGTGAAATATGGTGTGTAATCCCCTTTGCCGCCTGTAAATTCCCCTCTTCTCTCTGTGCTATGGTTAGTGTTGGAGAGGTAAGTTATTGTACTATTTGTTACATTACTTATTACATTCCCTAAATATGCAAAATGCACCATTTTTTCCTTAAAAATGTGGGATTTCACAGTTACCTTGCCAAAGAAAACAAACTTTGATCACTAATTATCTTGTAATTTTTTAGTACAGTACAATCTGAGTTAAGACAGTATTTCCCACTTATTACAGCTGGGAAGATAAGTGTACTGCAATTTTTGTCTAACTGAACGGTTTTAATTACTGGGGCGGAGAGCAGCAAGAAGAAAGACCTTGATTCAACTGGAGGAACAAGTTCTATTCTATACCCCAAATTGCCCCTGTGCAAATCATTGGATCCCTGACAGCTCCAGATGTCACTTTGACCTTGGCCCTCTCTGTCATGAGTGACAAAGAAAGAAAGCTTCCCCTGTTTGGCTAAAATGGGTATATTACATCTAAACTAACATTACTGCATGGGTAAGCTTAGTAATACTAGTCACACCGTCATCACAGGTCCTCATGTTTCCCCTGACATGCACCCACTCCAAATCCTGTTAACACCGCCAGCCTGCGCCACAACAACCTACATTCCACAGTAATCACACTGTCTGACTGAGGCATGTCAGGACATCAAAGCAGCGATAGTAACAATGGTGACAGAGCACCATGTTGGATGGACTCTGGGCTGACACCCAGAGAGGGGAGAGAGGAAGTGTGTTTTTCTTTTCTGCAATAAAAATATAATATGGAAAAGGAGGATATACATTGTGGAGCACCATATTGTTGTGGCTGCACTCCAAGCTTCAACCAGATCTGAGAAAAAAACTGAGGCAGTGATCCAAACAGAATGGGGACACACACATACATAAATACATCATCATAATACATATATTGAAGTTATTTTGACTAAGTGATAAAATCGGACATTATATATAAATATATATATATATATATATAGCTAAAAGAATTATTGTGGTGAACATATGGAAATTGTTGGTTGACACTGCAGGGCTGTTAAAGTACCTGAGTTTTCGTACCCATTCCAAAGTAATGCTTAGTTTATATAAAGAATAGAAATATGATTTATCTAAAAAAAATCCTTTTTTGTAATTTTATTAGATAAACCAAATGTTGAATGTCTAAATGAGCTCCTCTCTTCTCCTCTCCCTCTCCATCGCACCATGTGCTCGCGCATGCTCGGTCACGCAGCGCCGGGGCCCCGACACGGCTGCTCCTCAGCTTCAGTGCGCGTTGATGCACGGCGTCCCCGACTGACACGCCTTGTGTATCTCCTCCCATCAGCAACAGGGAGAAATCATATTCACTTCCAGCCGTGTCATTATAAAAACCATCCCACCCAGTCGGTATTATAAATTGCTGTTGAATGAGGATATGGAGAGTGAACGTTGGAGGAAATTTGTAGCCTACATATTTGCATAATGTAATTTTTTCTAGAAGTATCAGGAAATTGATCTGTGCAAATTAGTGTTAAATAGGGTGATTGCTGGATTAAGCGCATGTGCCTTCCTGGAATTAATCCAAGTATACATCAAATATATGAATCTACATGGGACTATATAGCTTAAAAATATGTTATAGTTTATCCTTCCAAAGGAAAACAATACTCACAATCTGTCTATGGAATTTCCTTGTGTGTGTGTGTGTGTGTGTTTGTGTTTGTGTTTGTGTGTGAATTACTCATCAGTGATAGGAGATGACGTCACTTTTACTTGAACTAACCCGACGATTCAGAGTTTACATCACTGTGCTGGAATATACTGTGTTCATCTTGATGAGGAAATAAGAAATCTAGTCCTTAATGAACAAATGGGGCTGTGAAAGTGGAGCTTATTTATGAAAAGTGGGCTAATATAATGTCATAAATATCACATATCATAATAGACTTTAGTGCTTTGTCACAATATAGCGTACTACATAATTCATGTTGTTTACCCATAAAGTATCTAGGAATTGCTTTTCAGCAATTCATTCCAAAGCCATCCTAAAATGAATCTAATTTTTAGGTGTCATTTCTAAAAATGAGCAGCATTGCCTGGTTTGTCTGTGTATGACCCCGGTAAAGGGTTTCCTGCAGGGCAATTTATTAAGAGGATAATTCTTCAGATGATGCGGTGATGACGGTGAGATTGTGTAAGATAGGCTACATATTTCTCTTTCCTATTCCAGTTGTGGATATGGCTGCATGCGCGGGTGCTGTGTAACAGTCCTGCGCACCGGAGCCAACCATTATGAGAGAGGAAAAGAGAGATAGAGAGGGGCGGTAGAAATGCAAGCAATAGGGGGAGGGGTGGAAAAAGGAGAGAGGAGGAGGAGAGTGTAACTGTGTGTGTGGAAGGATGGATAGCCTACCACCAGGCTGCTAGAAGAGAGCGCACACGCATAACACACACACACACACACACACACACACACACATACACACACGCGCACACACAGAAGAGGGTAGTGTGTGAGCCTGCCAGTCAGTCAGTCAGTGTGAGTGTGTAAGCCATGTTGGATGTGAATGAACGGGAGGAGAGATGCTGCTGCCGCGCCGCTCCTAACGCTCCGACCTCCAGCTCCACGGACCACAGCGGGTAGATGCCAACTCTCCAGGCCGACGGAGAGACGGGGGAGCCTGGGGGAAGGTGTCGGGCGGTGCCGGCGGTCCTGGAATTGGCCACCTAGCCAGAGGAAGGACTGAGGGAAGTAACTGGGAGAGGAGAATACGCACTCGACAGAGAAAGAGAGAGAATAGGCAGAGGTGGAAGTGGGAGAAAGGTGGGGAGAGACAGAGAAAGGAAGAGACTAAATGGCTGCACCGCTACCGGGCTTCACCCCGCTCCTGCTCTGGTCTCTGGCACTCCACCTGCTTCTCCTCGGCCCTTTGTTCGCCTTCACCCCGGAGACGGTGAATACAGAAGGGGTTTCCAACCAATGTACCCCGGGCCTCTTCTACCGAAACGCCGGTAAAGTGAGCCAACAGCAGCAGCAGCAGCAGCAGTGCGAGGAAGCAGGGGAGTCGCCGAGGGGCAGCTGGAATCTACACCCAAGCAGGTGGACCTTAGAGCAGATACAGAGTGAGGGATGCTCTGGAGTGCAGCACGCAGAGGGGGCGCTGGGAGCATATCACCAGGATGGGGCGAGGGGGACACGGAAGGAGAGACTGAAAGGAGTCGGGACGTTTGGGAGGAGTGGAAATGGCCCTCCGGCACCATCACCTCCTCCTCCTTCTCTCCACCCAGGTATTAGGAGCAGGTCGAGCTGGGATGGCGTCGGCATAGGACAGGGAGTGGAGAGAGGAAGGCTGGTGATGAAGGGCGTTGTTTCACCTGCTTTCACCTCCTCACCAGTTCAAAACGGCAAAAAACGGGCAGTACAAAGGACTAGAGCGTGCGCACAACGGTGGCCGGCGTCGAGGCCACACCTCGCCAAACGTGGCGCCGCCAGAGCCTTTGTGCACGCCTCTGGCCTGTGCAGGGCACCCGGAAGTGGAGAGAGGAGAGGGGGAGAGGTGTGGAAGAGGGCTGGTGAGGCAAGGAGGCTCTTAGCTACATGGTGCTCCCTGACACCCGGGCATCTCTACTGGCCAAGCCCCGACAAACACGCCCTCTCCACGGCCAAAATCCCCCCAGCAGGCCCCTTACCAACCGGTTGCTTTTGTTGCATTCATCCTCTTTCAGGATACAATTCACGACAATTCACCGTCAAATTTCATCACCGGTTCACCCAAAGTTCAACCTGTATCCAGGGATCAAAATTGGACTACATTTGTCATTTTTCATCTTGTAATTCCACGAAGTCCGGCTACACAGACACAATTCAGTCGCATCCAGTTTACAGGAACAGCAACAAGGCTTGGGGTACTGGTAATTATTCTCATTTGGGCAGGCACAATGTAATCGATCCCAGTAGTATAAGAGAGGGGGGTGATGACAGCTGCTCGGTTGGGTGCACTGGTAGCAGGGAGAGGGGAGCGAGGAGAGGGGGAGATGAACAGGAAGGGAAGGAAGCGTACAGATGTAGCGCACCGGCAGTGATTAACCCCAGAACCAGGGCGCACTTTGATTATTGTGGAACCCCTGTGCATGATGCGAAAGCAGGGTATTACTACGCCGGAATTAAGGATAAGGAGAGGGAAAGGAATGAGAGGAAAGATGGAAAGGGAGGAGGGGCGTACCAAGACAACAAACACGTTAATTTACCTAATTACCCGGATAATGATTTGCCTTTTCCGATTCTATGTAATGAGCTTCGGAAGGGGAAATCAGCACCAGCAAACACGAGGCAGAACAGTCAAACCCGGGGAGAAAGCAGAAAGGTACCCGGTGGTTGCTTTGGTTGTTTTGACAGTGTAGAAATTTTGAATGCATATTTAGCCGCGTTTATGGTCCGAGAGGGAGCCATAGCTCAGAGGAATCTCCCCATCCACATCACAGAGACGCCCGGACAACGCTTTCTATCCAGCAAAAGCGCAATTCCCGAAATCGAATCAAAATATTCTGGCTTGGTGCTCAGTACGCCCCCTCAAACACAAACAGACGATTATTCAAAAAGTGTGAAACTATCCAAAGCACTCCGTCTCTCTGCTGTAAAAGTAAATGCAACTCCAGAGACAGAGTCTGCATGTGACTCAGACTTTTTCTCACATGCTAAGTTTCCCGTTACATCTCCCGGAAATGTGTCAGCCACGTCTCGCTCTGCAACAGTTATCAAACCACATATTCGCTCTCAGTCTGATCACACCGCAACAAAACACCTGTCGCCTTTGTCGGAAATAAACCTGACTACATGGAAGGATGACTCTGCGCATTCGCTTCACTTACCCTCTGTGAAGGACCTGATTTCAGCACGATGGACAGCTCCCTCAGACTCACAGCGCATATTTTTGTGGCGCACATTAAACACCAACAGTAATAACAACAACGAAGGGGAGGGGAGCAAGGAGGTAAATGCATATAGTCATGAATCTGAAAAAGAAAAATCGCCGTGGCATGGTCAGACACAGCAGCAAGACCTGTTGGAAAGCGCACTGCCAAAGATGGTCCACCCAGTGTGCCCTGACTGCATTTCCCCCGACTGTTCAGCCACCGAGCGGGGGGACCATGCACATATGCAATTAAAATCCAGTAAGCAAGTGCCATTAGAGCCCGAAGGTGTCAGACAGTCAGATAGACGGCAGATGGGGGCCGAGGAAGAAAGGGAGAGGGATACAGAGAGGGAGGGAGAGCGCTTGGAGGGGTCCGCTGCTGTTGGGGGAGGGAAATTACAGGTGGGGGTGGGTGAGACAGAGTGGGTGCGCCTGATGGGAGGGAGAGATGCAGGAGGAGAAGAGCAAAAGGAGGAGGAGTGGGAGAGGGAAAAGAGAATAACAAAGGCAAGCCAGGCTGTGGAGAGAGAGTTAGAGGGAGGGAAGGGTCAGGATAGGGGCAGTAGTACCACCACCATCATGCAGCCAGATAGCGAAAGAGGGAAGAGAGAGAGCCAGGTTGATGAAAGCCATGAGGTAGGAGAGATGGATGAGAGGGAGGGGGAGGAGGGGGAGGAGAGGCAGGGCACAAGGGGAGAGAGGAGTCTGGAACAACTGATAATAGTAGAAGATGATGAAACCTCGCCGGGAAAAAGGGAGAGGGAGATTTTGAAGCCGTGGCCTCGCTCTCGACGTGCAGCCAACAGACACCCCCATTTCTCCCAGTATAACTATCAAGTACAAGTAGCTGAGAACCAGCCGCCTGGCACCTCGGTCATTGTCATGTCCGCCTCAGACACAGATGCAGGAGATGCAGGCAGGGTGAGCTACACAATGGCCCCACTGATGAACAGTCGATCATCTGACTACTTCCACATCCATCCAGACACAGGTCTCATTACCACCACTCAGATTCTAGACAGAGAACACATGGATTTGCATTACTTCCGGGTCACTGCGACAGATTATGGCCCCTCTCGCCTCTCTGGCACCACAATGGTGGCCATTACTGTTTCAGACCGAAATGATCATTCTCCCATATTTGAACAGACAGAGTACAGGGAAACAATCAGGGAAAACGTTGAGGAGGGCTATCCCATCTTACAACTGAGAGCGACAGACTTAGACTCCCCATCCAATGCCAATATCCGTTACCGCTTTGTTGGTGACACGGCTGCAATGGCACGAGGAGCCTTTGAGATTGACCCACGTTCTGGCCTCATTACAACCCGCGGATCAGTGGACCGGGAAACAAATGAGCACTACACTCTCCAGGTGGAGGCTAGTGACCAGGGGAAGGAACCAGGGCCACGCTCCGCCACTGTTAAAGTTTTCATCACTGTTCTGGATGAAAATGACAATGTGCCACAGTTCAGTGAAAAGCGCTATGTGGTAGCAGTGAAGGAGGATGTACGGCCGCACTCTGAGATCCTCCGTGTGAGTGCCACAGACAGGGACAAGGACAGTAATGCTGCTGTTCACTATAATATCATCAGTGGTAACAGCCGTGGGCAGTTTTCTATTGACAGTGTCACTGGGGAGATCCAGGTTGTGGCACCACTAGACTTTGAGGCAGAACGAGAGTATACGCTCCGTGTTCGTGCACAGGACAATGGCCGGCCACCTCTGTCCAACAACACCGGTATTGTCAGTGTACAGGTGACGGATGTCAACGACAACCCACCGATCTTTGTCTCCACACCATTCCAGGCGTCTGTGCTTGAGAGTGCCCCAGTTGGTAGTTCTATCCTCCACATACAGGCCATTGATACTGATTCTGGTGATAATGCCCGTCTGGAGTACAGGTTAACTGGCACCAGCTCTGACACGCCATTCATTATTAATTCTGCAACAGGCTGGGTCACTGTGAGTTCTATTCTTGACCGAGAATCTGTAGAGCACTATTTCTTCGGTGTGGAGGCTAGGGATTATGGCATGCCACCTCTTTCTGCTACTGCGAGTGTTACAATTACAGTGATGGATGTTAATGACAACCGCCCTGAGTTCCTCCAAAAGGAGTACTATTCTCGCCTGAATGAGGATGCGGTGGTTGGCACCAGTGTTGTGACTGTCACAGCTGTGGACCGTGATGTCAACAGTGCGGTGACCTATCAGATTACAGGAGGAAACACCAGAAACCGCTTTGCTATTAGCACAGCAGGAGGGGCTGGACTTCTCTCGTTAGCTCTCCCATTGGACTACAAACAGGAGCGCCGCTATGTTCTAACCGTCACTGCCTCAGACCGCACGCTCCACGACACCTGTCAGGTGCACATCAACATCACAGATGCCAACACACATCGGCCTGTATTTCAGAGTGCCCACTACTCTGTTAGTGTGAATGAGGACAGACCACCTGGAAGCACTGTAGTTGTGATCAGTGCCACAGATGATGATGTTGGTGAAAATGCTCGAATCACATATTTCCTCGAGGACAATATCCCACAATTCCGTATTGACACCTCAACAGGGGCTATTACACTCCAGGCAGAGCTTGACTATGAGGACCAGATGACTTACACTTTGGCTATAACAGCTAAAGACAATGGCATACCACAGAAATCAGACACCACATACGTTGAGGTGAATGTGAATGATGTGAACGACAATGCACCTCAGTTCCTCAGCCCCAGATATCAGGGAACAGTGAGCGAAGATGCTCCTCCTTTCACTAGTGTCCTTCAAATATCAGCTACTGACCGTGATGCACACGCCAATGGTCGTGTTCAGTACACTTTCCAAAATGGTGAGGACGGGGATGGAGACTTTACCATTGAACCTACATCTGGCATTGTCCGAACTGTTCGCCGTTTGGACCGTGAGAGCGTGCCATTCTATGAGCTCACGGCTTATGCTGTGGATCGTGGCGTTCCCCCTCAGCGAACTCCCGTCCACATCCAGGTGACAGTCCTAGATGTGAACGACAATGCCCCTGTCTTCCCTGCAGATGACTTTGAGGTTCTAGTGAAGGAAAATAGCGCAGTGGGCTCTGTGGTAGCCCAGATCACGGCCACTGACCCAGATGAGGGTGCCAATGCTCAGATCATGTACCAAATTGTGGAGGGCAACATCCCTGAAATTTTCCAGATGGACATCTTTTCAGGGGAGCTCACCTCACTCATTGATCTTGACTATGAAGCCCGCAATGAGTATGTCATCGTAGTCCAGGCCACCTCAGCACCTCTAGTCAGCCGGGCCACTGTCCGAATCAGATTGGTGGACCAGAACGACAACCGGCCCACTCTGCAGGACTTCCAAATCATCTTCAACAACTTTGTGTCCAATCGCTCCAACAGTTTCCCCAGCGGGGTAATTGGGAGAGTACCCGCCCACGACCCTGATGTGTCAGACAGGCTCTACTACACCATTGACAGAGGGAACGAGCTTCACCTGCTGCTCCTGAATCACACCAGTGGAGAGATCCGACTGAGCCGAAAACTGGATAACAACAGGCCGCTGGTGGCTCCCATGCTGATCACCGTCACAGGTAAGAGACCATGAAGGGAGAAATTGGTGGAAAGGATTGGAGGGTGTGTGTGTGTGTATGTATGTGTGTAGTCGGTATAGATTTCCCTGTAGCTTTATTCACTGTAACAAATACTGTGAAGATAAGGACTGAGACTCTACAGGTTTGAGTATGAGTGAGAAAGGGGTGTGATAAGACTGAATGGCATTCATGGTCTTGTGTTTCAAGAAGTCGAATTCATTCCAGAGGGAACTAAGTGTGAGAATTTATTACCCGTGTCTCAGACATTTGCCACATGTGATTGTGAGAGCAATGTAGACAGTGACAGAGCTGTTACTTAAATTAGGAGACTGATGCTAGTTGGCTAAGCAGAGTTTCAAAATGTCGAAGAGGTGAGAAGAGTCTGAGAAAAGAGTGACAAAAAAAAAGCATGTGTGACGCTTAGGGTGGATTTTGTGTGAGAAAACATGACAGCAGCCTACATATCACCAAAGGTAAGAAATGTGTGAGGCCTAATGGTAATTATTAGTATGTCTTTCATGTCAAATTTTCATATGAGTCAGGATGTTGTCAGTTTATGAGATACGCTGTTGCAAGCAACTGTTGTATAGCAGGTAATTTACTTTGGGCATGGTAATGGTAGAATGAGAGCTGTGTAGATGTGAGCAGTGATCTGTATCACAGTAACACCCTTAGTGCCATCCACATCCCATAGCGATATCCCATGAAATGCTATCAATAGGCCTACTTCCTTAATATAATAATAATAATGATCTTAAGCGTAAACCCATGGGCTATTAGTATGGAGAGAAACACATTTTGATTTCCCATGATTTTTCTTAACTGACTGCTTGTTGATTATCCATTGTGTTGATCATGGCCGTCACTGAGAAATGTTTGCAATTGAATTGATATTTCCTTCTGTTTTGGGGCTATGTCTACAAGAATATAATCATCTATCTTATTGCCGTCCAATGGATATTATTATATATTTATTATATATTTTTTGTTTGCATTTCCAGCCTTTGGCTTTAAGATAAAAGCTTCCTAAAAGCTTTACAGGCTTCTTTGCTGTCAATGATCAAAGCCTTAGAAACTGAATAAGTAAAAATAGCAGCATTGTTGCTTTGAAGGCCTGGTTAGTGCCGTGTTTGTATTGTGTCAGAAAGCTTTAATCGAGGAGCGCTGTGAGTGTGTGTGACCTGCTACCCTATTTAAACTGCTTTGACATCAGCCTCAATAGTTATGATGCAGGCTTATATACATTCATTTTGTCATAATTTTGGATGAGTGAGTGAGTGAGTGAGACAGTGAGTCAGTCATTTAGTGAGTGAATGACAGAGAGAGAATCATTTTGGGAACGACTTAATGATTGGGTGAGGTTTTTGCTGAGGGAGTGAAACATGTCAGTGACCAAATGAGTGAATGTGTAAACCAATTATTGAGTGAATGATTAAGTGAGTAAATTTGGGACTGACTGACTAAACTGCGGTTCAGTGAGTTACCAAGTGGTTGAGAGATACAGTTATTATTATTATTTATATATTTAACCTTTATTTAACTAGGAAGCCTCACATGAGGCATTTATATTTCTCAGTTATATGGGGTTTTAACATGGCTTTAAATTAATTTAAAGGGACTAGATCATTTAAATGTAGCAAGTTTTGCAAATCAAAGAAGGCTTTTTTCCCTAGCTCAGTAAAAACCAAGCGATCAAGAGAGTGAGTAAATGAATGGAAGAGAAAGTGTCTGAGAATATGATAGTGAAAGAGACTAAGACTGAAAGTGAATGAGTGAACAAATAAGTGGTTGAACAAAAAAGTAAATGTGAGTGTGTGAAAGAGTGATTTATTAAAAAGAGCAGTGACTGAGTAAATGAGCGAGCAAACAAGCGAACCTAGCACTCGTGTGTGTGTGTGTGTGTGTGTGTGTGTGTGTGTGTGTGTGTGTGTGTGTGTATGTAGGCCTGTGCCACCCTTTGTCTGTCTCTTCCCATGTGCATTCAGCTCGTTCGAACCAGACGTGTAGATTCATTTCCAATTTTTTTGCTGTTTCTCACTCACTGTGAATGTATGTTGCTTAGTCTCTCTTTCTCCCTCCATTGCTCCAGGATTAGACAGTTATGAGATTATAATGAAACAACAGTCAGCCAGAGTCATGCTCAGAGCAAAGCCGTCACTTTCATTGTACGCTGCGTTATCTGTGACTACCCGTCCCTCCTCTACCCATCACTTTCTTCCTCTCCTTTCTTCTACCCATCCTTGAATGAATGGATGGATGGATGGATGAATTGCTCAGTAATTTTTACTCCTTGTATTTTTCTGTCTTCTTTTTAATCATCCTTCTTTCCATTTGTTTATTTTGTCTTTTCTTCTCCTTTGGTCCTCTTTCTTCATTTCTCATTTTCTTCCTCTCTCTTCTACCTATCTCCTCAGTCTTCACCCTATATATATTTTCCATGCTTCTTTCTAACTTCTCTCTTTCCACCAATACTTCCCTGTTATTGTCTCATAACTCTCAAAGGCTGCTCCATGCTGCCTCCATGGCATATTCTTTTCAACTCTGCTTCTCTTCCTCCGTTCTGTTCTCTCCTCTCCTTATTTACTATCATTGTGTATGTCTCTGTATGGGATTTTCCTGACTGTGTTGTGTATTTTCTCATGTGTGTGCCTGATTGTTTTTATGCATGTGCATGTTTAAACAGTGTTTTAACACACTATGTACTTTCCGGTGCATAATGTGAGTGTGTGTCCTCTCAGGTGGTTCAAAGCATTGCACTTGAGTGTCTGAATATGTCTTTTCAAGGAATAATATCTATGCATGCCAGACAGTGCTGGGACTACACTCCAGTCTTTTTCTGTATGTCTTGCTTTCTCACTTCTTCAGTCTTTAACACTTTCTTCTCTCACATTATCTCTTTATCTCCCATTTATATTCCTCTCTCCTACTCGCTGTCTCTTCTTTCTATCCCATTTCCATATGACAGTTAGTTCCAGACTATTGATTCTCAGAATAATTCCCATATTTTTGGTGCATAGAGATTAAACCACTGCATCATGTTGCCAGCAGTTCACACATGAAACTGGCTTTAGGGTCATTTGGTCAAGGCAAGTAATGAAAAAAATATAATTTTAGCTCTGGATTCCTAACAGCGTCAGCTCAAGGTGCCCTTTATAAAACTAACCCCCAACTGCTCCTGTGGCCAGCAGCAAACACTGTGGTTGTACCGGCGAACTCTTAGTTGTGTATGTGTGTAGCTGTTTGAATGTTGATTGCCAGACCCCTTTCATAAGTGACACATTCTCCTAATTGGTCATTATCCTAATATGGCCACCTGTGTAGCAGTGTTTCATATTATGATTAGGTTGATGTGTAGGTAAAGCTGCATATAATACATTTTTTGTCAGAAACCACACTTTATAAGTGTCACCAAACAGTCGCCTATTTAAACATCCAGTGGAGGAACATTAGGATTCATTTAAATGTAGGTCAGTTATTGACTTTTAGCGCTGGTTTGGTCTCCACAAACTCCTAAGAAAAAAATATCCTATGAATGTGCTTTTTTGTTGCTGGGCAGGTACAGTGGGTTTATCAGAACTTTTTTTTTGCTGAAAATTAGGTTGATGAGAGCACTGAGTCTGAACCAAATATGTAGAATACTGAATACTGTAGAAATAAAACAAACTAAAAGAGACTAAAAAGCTCCATAGAACTTCAGAGTGAGTTTGTCACTGTGAGCAATGCCTTTCATATTACGTGATACTTTTATCCATTGTTAAATATTAATTAACAGATTGTTAGGATTGGCTAAGCAGTGGAAGGAGAACACAAAAAGGTAAATAATCTTCACCCGGTGTATGTACTCAAACAGAACATATATACAAATACTTGAAATTAGAACAGAATAAAAATTGAAATATGTATTATATACATTTATTATACAAAGGTAGTGCTATGGTAATGTGCAATACCAGCATAATAGCTGGTAACAACAACATAACATAACATACACACAGACTACAGCTCTATTGTGCTGGCTGGATGGAATATATATTATATTACTGCTGAAACGTGAATATGCTGAGCCACTGTGCAACCTACTCTATAGGGCACAGTGGGACGGTAGCAGGAGCTATAAAGAGACTTTAGATTCAAAAGCCGAGGTTCAAGAACTTAATTTGTCACATGCACATAGGATGTGCAGTGAAATGAAACAATGGCAATGCCTACATTTACTTTATCTTAGCAACTGACCCTATTATGACCTGGAAAAACCTGTGTTGTGGTACCTCTAAATTCATTAACAGTAAGTAAGCCAATTTCCATATTTGCTGACAATATGATAGTGAAAGAGACTAAGACAGATAGGCAGCTTGAGATCAGTGATTAAAGCAAACAAAAGCCCGGGCTATTAGAGTTTTTTACAACCACTAACATCCTTTTGTCCAATCTGTAGTCACATTTTCAAAACTCTAAACACGGTTTGTTCATACCATACATTAACACAATTCATGTTGTTTACACAGAATATGCAATCAATTAACTCATTTCTAAAATGTCTAAAAGTTTTTCTTTACGTACAAGCTTACCCACTAACAAAACTATGGATGTTTTGTGTTATTTACAAATGCTTGTGCACAACATGTCAGAAATGAAGATATCATTTTCAAAACCTTAAATAATGTATAAAGCATCTACTTCTGCTGCAATAGCAGCTAAAAATCTATATTGGAACAGCTGATAATCATTTCTGAATGACCTGATCATTGAAACATTGAGAAACAGCTGATTTATTGTAATTTGGGTAAACCAGATCAACCACAGCTAATTCCAATCTCAACCAGAGACATGTACAGGTGTTGAAGTCCTTTCAATTACATACACAATGCAGTAAAAAGGGAGCTTTCTGGAGTTGAGTTTATCAAATGCGGATACAGAACAACACAGAAGACTAGAGAAAGAAACAATAATGTCTGAACAAGGGAGAAGAATAGTTGAGAATAGGGCCAGGGGGGAGTAGC